AAACAAACCCAAATCCAAACCATCACATCACAAGGATCACAAGGGAGAGAGGGATGAGGGAGAAGTTGGCTCCAGGATTTAGGAAAACCATCCATTTGTAGAGAGTTCACTGGAACATTCTCTTCCAACTCCACCTAAACTGAGCCCACCTGGGCTCCAGGAACCTCTGAGAGGAACACACACCTGGAGAAGGTTTTTCCATGTGGATTCCATGGGTTGGGTGACCCCTCAACAAAGGTGGAACTCACCCAATTCGGTTTCGAACCGGTTTATCTGGGCAAATGTAGGTCACAAATGGTCATTTCCTGCCAAAAGCTCCTAAAAAAAAAGTCCCAAGTGTCTGTAGATGATGTTCAGACATGGATTCCAGGAGCAAATCCAGAACCTGCCACTGCAACACGATGGGAAGTGAAGCACATCAACATGGATCACGTTCACACGGGCTGATTGGAAGTGAAGTGAGGTTGGAGGCAGCTTTGGAAGGGCTGGGGTTCTACCACACCTCATTGTTCATGTCTCCCAGTTGTCCAAAGATGCTTGGGAATCAGCCTGGGAAGGCTTTGAATTCCAAGAGGAACATCAGGATCTTGGGTTGCATCAGTTGGATCCACAACTCTGGAGATGCAAGGTTTTCAAAATAGGTCCTTGTTCCCTTTGGGAATTGTCTCCCAGTTGTCCAAAGATGCTTGGGAATCAGCCTGGGAAGGCTTTGAATTCCAAGAGGAACATCAGGATCTTGGGTTGCATCAGTTGGATCCACAACTCTGGAGATGCAAGGTTTTCAAAATAGGTCCTTGTTCCCTTTGGGAATTGTCTCCCAGTTGTCCAAAGATGCTTGAAAAGCAGCTGGGGTGGGAGGAGGGCTTGGAATTCCAAGAGGAACATCACGATCTTGGGTTGCCCCACTTGGATCCAAAACTTTGGAGATGCAAGGTTTTCAAAATAGGTCCATGTTCCCTTTGGGAATTGTCTCCCAGTTGTCCAAAGATGCTTGAAAAGCAGCTGGGGTGGGAGGAGGGCTTGGAATTCCAAGAGGAACATCACGATCTTGGCAGGAAAGAAATGCTCAAAAGCTTAAACATTGGACAAATTCCTAAACTTACATCTAAACAACATCATTCCATCCATCCAGAAAGAAGGAGAGAGGTGATCCAACCTCCTTCAGGCTGGGAAAAGTCTCCATGAATTCGTGCTGGTGGGACCTCGTTGCCTCCTCCATCGTGCAGTGCTTGAGGAACATCTCTGAAGGTCTCAGTCTTGCTTCTTCTCCCTCCACCTCCTCCTCCTGAGTTTGAAGCAGCATCCATCCCGAGATCCTTGGGAAGAGCTGGAAGCTTTTCCATGGTCAGGATGTGAAGTAGGAGCTCTGCATGGAGTAGAGTCGGTCAATGGGGTTGCCCACACGGGCTTGGAGAAGGTTGGCTTCAGGTGTGGACATCAGGCAGTCCCCCAAGTGGCTCAGGCTGTCGTTGTCCATGTCGTGGAAAACTCCTTCAGAGTCTGGAAATGGCAGGGAAAGGGATAGGGTGGGAATGTGGTGGGAGCTGGAGCACAGGAGAAAGGTGAGGACCATGGTCCACCTGGGCATCAGGCCTGGGAGGAGGTGACCCCCGTAGGAGCAGAATCATGGAATAATGGAATTGGTTTGGTTGGAGAAAACCTTGAGGATCATCCAGTCCAACTATGACCCCCAACCCTGCCAAGGCCACCACTGCCCCATGTCCCTCAGCACCATCTCCAGGGCTTGGAAACCCCTCCAGGGATGGGGACTCCCCCCCTGCCCTGGGCAGCCTGGGCCAGGCCCTGACAACCCTTGCCAGGCAGGAATTGTTCCC